GTTAAACTGGAAAGTGTGCAAAGAAGATTTACAAGGACGTTTCCAGGACTAGTAGGCCTAAGAAGGAGAGGTTGGCCAGGATAGGACTTTATTCCGTGGAACGTAGAGGAATGACGGGTGATCTTCATGAGGTATATAAAATCATAAGGGGCATAGAAAGGATGAATGCATATAGTCCTTTTTCCAGGAATGGAGAATTGAAAACTAGAGGGCATAGGATTATGGTGAGAGGGGAAAGAATTAAGAAGGACCAGAGAGACGACTTCTTCGTGCAGAGTGTGCATATGGAATAGGCTGCCAGAGAAAGTGGTTGAGGCAGGTATAATAGCAATTTTTAAAAAAAAAAACTGGATAGGTACATGGATGGGAAGGGTTTAAAGGGATATGGACCAAATGCAGGCAATTGGAACTAGCTGAGTGAGCACCATGGTCAGCATAGACCAGTTTGGGTGGAAGGGCCTATTTCCATGCTGTATCACTCTATGACTCTAATATTGTTGATTCTTAACATGCCCTCTGAAATGGTCTAGCAAGTCATTCCATTCAAGGGCAGTTAGGGACAGACAACCAATGCTGACCTTGCTAGTAATGTCCATGTCCCATGACGAATTTTTTTTTTTAAATTTGCAAGACACTTGAGGCAAAATTTGAAGATTTTAGAGAAAATGGAGAATATATGAAGAATTCAAGGTGGGAGACTTAAATTACATGAATAGAGCCAGAGAAGTTAGGATGCAGGGAAGGGCCATTTAACCTATCTATTGGGTCTTTCACTGGCTAAGTAAACCATCTGCCCATTCTGATCCCATCTTCTGGTACCTGGTCTGTAGCCTTGCAAGTTGCAGCACTTAAAGATCAGATTTAGTTTACTTTTATATAAATTGAGGGTTTCCACCTTGACCAACAAACCAGTCGCAAATTCCAGATATCCACCACCCTGTGAGTGAGAAGTTTGTTCTCCTGTTCCCTCTTCTCTATTTACCTTCAATCTGTGACCCTTGGTAATTCACCTCTCCACTGGAGAAAACAGGTCATCCCTGTACGCTCTATCTGAGCCCCTTATTATTATGTGCATCTCAGTTAAGTCACTCCACAGTCTCTTCTCCCTAGCCTATCTAATCTTTAATCACACCTACAATTTTCAAGCCCTGGCAACATCCTTGTAAACCTCCTCTGTACTCTCTGTAGAGCAATTATGGCCCTCCTGTAATGTGGTGAGCAGAACTGCACACAAAACTCCATCTGTGATCTAATTAATGTCTTATATCATTCCAGTATTACATTCCTGCCTTTGTTTGCAGTACCTCACCTGATGTAAGAAAGCATTCCATCCGCCTTCTTTATCACCTTATCTACATATCCTGTCATCTTCAGGGACCTGTGTATATGAATTCCAGCTCTTTCATTTCTCTACCCTTCTCAATATCCTCGTGTTTATTGCGTATTCCCATGCTTTATTTCCCAGAATCTTGCACTTCCCTGAATTGCATTTCATTTGCCGCTTTTCTCCCCATTCAACCAAACCATTGACATCAACCTGTAGGTGATGGGCATCCTCTTCACTATCAACTAAATAGTTAATTTTTATGGTGTCTGCAAATTTCCCAATGATGCCATTCACATTCATGTCTAAATCATTAATATATCGCATAAACAGCAAAAGATCCAGCTCTGAACCTTGTAGAACACTACTGGAAAATTCATTCCATTTACAAAAACACCAATTTTGAGTCTAACTTGCCACATTCTCCTGAATCCCATGGGTTTAAATCTTCTGAGACAACAAGGTGCAAGGCTGGATGAACACAGCAGGCCAAGCAGCA